TTTAACTCTCTAAATAGTGAAATTCATGCAGTTTCGTGGACGTAAGTAAATTGTCGAACCACGTAAAATCTGTATCTTATTCTTTCTTGTTTCTTATTGTTTTATATTCTTGATTTGTTCTTCGATTGTGTGTGTTTGTTAGTGGATTTAAATCGTGTTAAATCCCAACAATTAGTAGTCCAATAGAATCCCACTTAGTTTGTCGCCAAGGCTCTACTCGATGATGTCGGGGTTGCAAGCTAGTATTGTTTTTTTTAATTGGAGAATCGATGGGTATCGATTAAGACACTTAAGATTTTTTTATTTATGTGAAATTAGAGCAAAATTTTAACCCACAATTTTAAAATTTATCGAGACAAGTCACTATTAAACTAACTGTTTACCTCAGTAATACACATTAAAAACTCCATTTTGGTTCAATCACGTAAAGATCAATACATTTTAATTCAAGTTGAATCAACGTCAGAGAAATCCCACGGACTATGAAACCAGAATAGAGGAAAAGAAAGAATATAACCACACCCTATTACTATGTACGTAACCTTAACCACTCCTTTTTTCTCTTATCACACAAGCAGAGGTTCAAAAAGTTATCAAATCCTCTCTCAAAAAACCCAATAATTAATGTATAGGCCTAAAAGCCGGACAGAACAGCTTTTGCAAACCAAAGGTCAACTCAAAAAGTCACTTAACAAAAGCAAGCATAGGTATCGGTGCTACGTCTGGTATTAATATTTTGATAATTATTTAAAAATAATTTAATATTTTAATTTAGACATGAATAACTTATGAATTAAAGAGAAGATGAGTTGAACGATTAAAATTAACCCAAACAATTTTGATGATTTAAAGAAAAATTAACTACCACCACCATCAGGAAGTAGGATATATTTTATTTTATTTTTTTGATCAAACTACAACCACTCACACTCACACTGCAGGCAGTAGGATCTACTGAAAACCCGATTCCATCAAAGAAGAAAAAGTAGAATACAGCTGCCGTATGTTATAACCAAAAAAAGACAAAACACAAGGTAAAAAAGCTTGGAAGTGTCCACTGATTGCAAAAGCGAACAATACTGTGATTCGATTAAAAACCATCAAAGCAAAAGGAAACTGAACAACAAAAGATCTTCAATCAAAGCAAATGCATCATAAAAACTTCTTCGGATACTAATAAAAACTGAACGTTCCAAAACATTTGATCGTCAGCAAAGTGGAAGAAACTGTAGGCATCTTCAAGTTCACGAATCAAACGAGTTCAAGCATTCTGTAGCTTAGCACCAAAGGTACCAAGAACTTCTGGGTGCTGAAAAATATCTCCCCACATAGTGTCCGGCGACACCTGGAGGTTCCCTGTCGGAATCTCATTGCAGGACGGCATAGCCTGTTTCTCAAATCCGCCATTGAAACTCCCAAACTGCTGTGAAACTCTTTGGTAGTCAGAGTAGAGACCAAAATGGTCGTTGTCAATCCCTTTCCTTATATCATTAAGCATCTCTTTAACAGGACCATCAGACACTGGACGTACAAATGACTCTTGAGTGCAACTAGAGGTTGGCAATGACTCAGATTTGATTTCCTTGGGTTTTGGGAAAAACCCATGTATAATTTCTTGCAATAAGCCTGAACCAGAAGGCTCGGAGGGAAAGAACTCCATAAAATCAGCTTGGTCAGGTGTGGTGGTAGTGGTTAGAACCCCATGAGAACAAGTTTGATGATCTGCATAATTTGATAAACTCGCAGATGAACCTGTAAAACTATCAGTCATGTTAGCGCTAGAATTGCTTGGTTCTATTGTGGTACTGTGACAAAACTGATTCACCCAAGAACTGCTCGAGAAAGCACTAGGACTAGTGGAAATGGAACCAAAGGTATTGATATAAGGATTATGTTCGTATGAAGGCATTGATTGAGGCAAAGAAGCGGATGAATTGGAGGAAGAGTTGATGAAGTCACCAAAGAGAAGCCTGTTGAGAGAAGGGTTTATCTGACTCTGTCGTGAAGAACTAGAAAAGTCACCTGCGTTAGGGTTTGAAAAGTATGAGAAATTGGACGCCGGAACAAACTGACGGTTGGGTATGTCCCTCATGGACGGCTGAGATGATCTGTTGTAGCTAAATGGAGGTATAAGAGTGTCTGTTGAAGGGTGAGTCGGTGAAGTAGGGTACACAAAGTTGGTCCTAGCCTTGACACCACGCATAGCTCGGGCAGCACAGTCATAGGCACACGCAGCCTCCTCCGCCGTGTCGAAGGTGCCCAGCCACCGCCTCTCTTTCGACTGAGGGTCTCTTATCTCGGCGGCGTAGCGACCCCAGGGACGGCGGCGTACGCCGCGGTACCTCATGGTGCCACTTGCACCACCACCACCACCACCATCTTTCAGAGATCTCTTGTTGGTGGTGGTAGCGGCGGTGATGCACCTTTTGGGAACTGCAGAGATAGGCTGATGTGGATCAGCCTCCGGCAGACCGTTGAGCCTCCTCAGTGCTTCTTCCATTTGATGAGCACCAGAGTTACACTAAGCAAGGAAAACGAAGCAACACTCAAATGAGACAAGAAGCAATATAGAGTGATTTGCTAGAATTGCACTTGGACTGAGGGAGTGAGGTTGTATTTATAGTGGGAATTTCCACCCATGCATGGAGAGAGAGAAATAGAGAGAGAGAGATGCATAATTCTATGCAAAATTTAAGAAAACAAAAAGGTGAAATGATATTCTGACGACTAGAATCTTCTATTGGGCAAACTGTTCTTACATTGGAGGGTCGTGATCCAATTTCACTTCTACTTTTCTTCCTGTTAAATATATTTCCAGTTTTTTTTTGAAGGAAAATGCTTATTTTAATTCAAATTTCCGGAGTGTTTCAAATTGTGCATGCATGGGACGATATTGAGATTTTCTTGTCATTTCATTCCCTGTTCCTTCGAGGTAGTTTTCTGTTTTAATTTTCTTTTTCTCGATAGATAGAAACTAAGTATAAAAAGAAAGTCTAGGGTACGGGAAAAAAAATCAGTATAATACCATTGATTATTATTTTTTATAATAAAATTATAATTTTTAAAAGAAAAATTACTGTTATTCAAGGATAAGTCATGGTCTATTAAAAAACAGTTATGATCGATCATGAATTTTTTGTATCAATCCTATTTTTTTATATTCAAACATATTTTTTAAAATTATAATTTATACTTCAAAAAAAATTATAATTTTTGCTACGTTTCCCACGGAGCCATTCCCAAGTGTAAATGTTCAACTACCTAGTCTCTGAATGTTATTAGGCCCGTAGATCCACTTATGCTCTGAGCCATCTGGGGCAGTACTGTATGTCCAATGCCCTTGTTAACAGTGTGATCAAGATGGGCGTGCGCAGCAAAAACGTTTTTATATTTCTATAAAATTATTAACGTTACATGATCTAAATAAAATTTTAAAAAAATTATAACTCAAATATATATTATTTCTTAAATAAATAGATTTTATCAATTTTTTTAATGAGACTTAATCATCTAATATTCATTCAAAAAATAATATATATTTGAATTATAGTTTTTAAATTATATTTAAATTATATAGTATCTTTTAACTACGTAATCCATTGTACTGTATTTTAAATAAGGGAAGTGTAAAGCTAAAGGGCGGAAAGAAGGACATCAAACTTTTTGTAAAAACACAATGGTTTTTTTTTTTTTTTTGGAAGGGGGGGGAATTGACAGCTAAGGCTGTATTGGACAGTAATTGCCTTCGGCTATTCCCAAGAGTAATCAAGAGAGGCAAAATAGTAGGAAGAAAGGTAGTCGTTTTCGGATTGTTAGAATCTGATTGATGTAGATTGGAGACGTGTGTTGAATTTTCGGTAAATGTGGGCCTCTTTTGCAAAGTTTATTAATCAATAAAATTCACATCTCTTTTAGAAGCCATTTTCTTCTATTTTTTTTTGTTTTTTCCAATAGTTAAGAATATTAGTTTTAGGACTATGATATTAATAAAAGATAAATTTTTTATAATTTAACTTTAAAAATTTACCAAAATTCAAAGTTAAAGATATATAAATTTACAGTTGATATTTATTAAAACTTGAACTATTACTCAAGAGTTATGTGTAACCGTCACCGTCCAAACGTCTATATCCAACATGTAATTAAAGAAGAGGGGATCTTTGGGCAAATAATAAGAGAAAAGAGGGGGCCTAATGTTATATTTTATTCTCTTCTTTTCATTGGAAGTTGAAGAGCTCTCTCTCACTCTCTCAACTCAGTGTGTTGTGTGGGTACTTGTGATTATCGTTCTGAATGATTACACTGGCGGCGCTCAGAAGTTGTTCCTCCCAGTCTGGTGTGTCTATCTATTAATTGGTGATTATCTATTAATTGTTTTTTCGGTTTCTCTTCATGTTTCCAGTGAACTAGTAGGGAATGTGTTACCNTTTCCTTTCATTGTTTTTTCGGTTTCTCTTCATGTTTCCAGTGAACTAGTAGGGAATGTGTTACCTCGCTCATGCAAAAGAGTAAATGTAGAATACTAGGCTGTATTTGGTTGTTTAGCAGAATAATTGATCTTAATAGTTATAATTATTAAATTTAATTTTTAAATCTATGTATCATAACTCAGCTAATAAATTAAATAGATTAAATGTGTTATTTATAATAAAAAATAAATATATATATATATTATTAAAAATTATTTTTTAATATCATAATTAGATAGGTGATAGTGGTTGAATATAAAGATATTTACTTTAGCATTAATTGTTTTTAGGGTTTGAAANTTTATGTATCATTACTCAGCTAATAAATTAAATAGATTAAATGTGTTATTTATAATAAAATATATATATATATATATATATTATTAATAATTATTTTTTAATATCATAATTAGATAGGTGATAGTGGTTGAATATAAAGATATTTACTTTAGCATTAATTGTTTTTAGGGTTTGAAAACCAAGGATTTATCTTTCACATGGCTTTTGTCTGGAGTAGGGTTTTATAGGGTCTTTAAGAGGATGGGTTTTAGGTTCTGTTTGTACATAAAGAACTGGGTTGTACTCCGAGTCAGAAAAAGGAGGGAACTTGTCTACTAACCCTAATCTCTCTCTCTCTCTCTCTCTCTCACTCTCTCACACACAGACAACACTCATCACTAATTATCGTCCCCTCGTTCCTCTAACTGATCTTTGAACTACAAAAAAANGAGTTGTACTCGGAGTCAGAAAAAGGAGGGAACTTGTCTACTAACCCTAATCTCTCTCTCTCTCTCTCACACACACACAGACAACACTCATCACTAATTATCGTCCCCTCGTTCCTCTAACTGATCTTTGAACTGCAAAAAAACTTCTGTTGTTAATCGCATGGATGATGATGTGATTAAGATTTAGAGTGNATTATCGTCCCCTCGTTCCTCTAACTGATCTTTGAACTACAAAAAAACTTCTGTTGTTAATCGCATGGATGATGATGTGATTAAGATTTAGAGTGCAATACTTGACTTTGGTGTTGGCCATTATTACCCCATTTTCATATTTAGTAAATAATAAAGGAGATCCACTATCATTATATAATAATTATATATTTCTACAAATCATGGGGAAGAGATTGCCAAAATTCTTTGATATTACGACCCTCTTCCTCGGCTCCACGAAATTCATTGCACCTGGTTCGAGATTGATCCCTTTTAATATTTTTTTTCTTTCATTTCTCTTTAATAATAAATTTTATTACAGTCAGGATAGATAATTCATCAACAATAAAAATAAAAAATATATATTGAAAAGGATTTCTTGTTCATCTCTCGTCTACCTCTCATCCATGGCCTGTCTTCATGCCCTTCACCTTCATTTCTACTAGAGTATAGTATATGAGTCTGACTTTTAGTTTTTGAACAATCTATGTTTAATGGTTTGTTTATATAAGGGAATGGCTATTAATAATCATGTATTTCCACTAAGAAAACATCTGTTAAATAGGTTGAATTGTTTTCAGAATATTCGATGCAATTAGTTAAATAATTTTGAATTAAAAATAATTAATAATTGCTTTGAACAAAAAATGATATGATCCAAGTAAGACACGACATTACACAATTATTACTTTTATTTTAAAATATTAAAAACATGTATCGATGATGAAAGTTATTTATTTTTTCAAATGACTGTCAATCAAACCACGATGATTTTAGAAGTCCATGACAATGGCCTTGAAGTCATTCCCTTTTTTTTTATGACTTTGTTATAAATTTTGGTTGTGTATGATAGTACAGCGTAAGATTAAAATAAATGACGAAATCTAATTTCATGGATTCTAAATAATTGAGGTATAAGACTTAGTTAAATTTGTAAATTTTCATTATAAAGCTACAAGTAAATATTCAATAATGATATTATTGAATTAATAATAAAATATCACTTGATATTTAAACTCATTACGAATTTAATATCACCATAATACATTAGTTTTAGGGTTAAATTCCCAAATGGGAAATGGTTAAAAACACTTCTGAGTATTAGCAGTTCTTGTCGAGAGAATGAACAGTGACCAACATAATAATTTAAGCTGTACAAGAGAGACAGAGAGAGAGAGAGAGAGAGAGAGAGAGAGAGAGAGAGAGAGAGAGGGAGAGGAGAGAAGGGGGGGGTCAGGAAAGGCCGAGACGCCAAACCAGGAGAGAATTAAAGGTGTAACTAGATTTTAACGACAAGAGAAGATCCTGTCAGAGGATATAGAATCGATGGAGTATTCTAACCAGCTTTTTTCCCAATATAATAACAATAATGTACTAGTTGTACATGAGATTGTGATAATATTGAAATAAATAAATTTTGTATCAAAATCCACGAAATTTATATAAAACTAAAAAATACAGTAAATTTTTTTGACTGTTTTCTTAGGAAGCGTAGTCTTTCCCGAACTTTTAATATTTTACCGACAAAAAAGAAAAGAAGAAGAACTTTCAAGTTTCAAGTCTTATCAATCAGTCTGCTTCTAGTATTGCAGTAAAAATAAGTGATACATACGCCTATATGTTGAAACAAATTCAAATACGGTATTTCACATCAGGTAGTTTCGATGTGACTGTGTCTATAAATTTTTATTTGACCCTTATTCTATTAGAATATAGAATAAGTGATTACGTATAAATAAAAAAATAAAAATAAATTCAAATAAAATGTAAATATTATAATTCATGGTGTAAAAAATCCCAAAGCTTGAGAGGGGTGAGCTGACAAAACTCTAGGTCAAGGATGTCGTCGGTGTGTGTGAAGAAATAAGAGAGAANGTGACTGTGTCTATAAATTTTTATTTGACCCTTATTCTATTAGAATTATAGAATAAGTGATTACGTATAAATAAAAAAAATAAAAATAAATTCAAATAAAATGTAAATATTATAATTCATGGTGTAAAAAATCCCAAAGCTTGAGAGCGGTGAGCTGACAAAACTCTAGGTCAAGGATGTCGTCGGTGTGTGTGAAGAAATAAGAGAGAATGTGAAAT